CCGCGACCGCCACGTATATACGAAGCATGTGCTGTTTCGACTGCCTTTCATTTCTCACCGATCTTACATTGTTCTGCTCTGTGCAGTGGGCGCCTTGCCACACCGTCGTCGCGGCGCCGTTGCTCGTCGCGTTCGAGCTGCTGCTCTGCATACACCTCGAGGGCACGAACGGTAAACCCCGCGGGACTGTCATCAGGCTTACGCGCGTATGTGCATGCTTGCTGGTTTTTCTAACCTTCCCTATGTGTCCGCAGTGTACGAGTACCCGGCTGTTAGCTTAAAGATTGTTTTCCTACCTCTCTTAGCCCTTGAAGTGACCATTCTTATTGATAATTTCAGGTGTGTTTCCTCTCATCTTGCTTTGATTTTTTTTTTCCTGTTTGTATCAGTAGGGCATTGCGATATGATGCTTTGCTATTTAGAAATTTAACTTGGGTCTTATCTAATGCGGTCCTATCCTAGATCCATGTGTCTTTTCTCTTCGCAACCCCGACATTAGCAAATGACTTCTTTTAAAATGTTGGTTTATATAGCTGTGATCACGGTAATAGAAGTTAAGACGGAAGCTGTTTTTGAAAAGGTGAGCAATGACAATTCGGTGCACATAGGTGAGCACTGGTCACGTGGGAGTGAATGTTGAACATTCTTGCTTTGATAAACCAAGGGGAGGTAGCTATGAGGCTGTGCAGTTCTTTGATAAACATTCTGGGTGCTACAATGATACTCTTCTCTTGCTAAGAAAGCAAAGACTAGGGAGTCTGAGATATGGTCAGACTTCTTCGATATATTATAATTTTTGAACTTACTGTTGGAGAAATTATTAGAATATTAACTGATATGGAGAAGAGCTACTGCAATAGGAATACATGCTCATTATAGAAGGCATAGACTGCAATCTCAAGCGTGGTTGTTCCAAAGCGAAAACATGTGCTGATTGTTTTATGGTATCAAAGGTAATTCATCTTTTTGTTTTGGGAAGTTTATAACCATTGCTTCAGTTCACTTGTTGGAATTTGGAACTTCGAGATGTCTTCTCAGAGGTTTTGGTCCAGTGTTTTCCTTTTCGATGGGAATAACTTCTCCAATTACTCTTCACTGCTGGTGGATCAGAGTAGAGGTTTAATTGAATAATGTGAATTGCTCGATTGAGAATGTCTGTTTGCCAGCTGATTTGGACAAAAACATTTGTCCAATTAGACTTCTTGTTATTGGTGGATCAGAGTAAACAGTTCAATTTGAGCAACTATTTATTGGAGGTCTGGCAAAGTTGTCTTTTTTCCCTAATAAATGGCAAACTGGCGAAATAAATATATGGTGTCTTTACTTGAGAAGGTCAATTGATCAACCAAAAGACGCAGATGAAGATTATGAATGATGTAGTAGGGATTTTAGTGCTAGATTTTGTATGTATCCAAGTAAAATGCTCTTAGGTTGGCAGTCTATCCGAGGGTGTGGTCCACCTCTCACTTTGTTTTTGTGTTTGTTTGGCCTGTGATGAGTGTAGTGCTCTCAATTGGGTACATGAATTGTTAGGTCCATATCTTCATATTTGACATACCTTTCCCCCTTGATATTAAATGAATATAAAGGGCATGTTGGGTTCCTAGTGAAGTTTAAGCTCACAAAAACAAAGCCTTTATCCCACAGCTTTCCCCGCAACTGCAACAGTCAACAGCAACCAAAAATGCCTTTACATAAATCTTTCTTTTCTGTTCAGATTGTTAAGAATAATCTCCGCTACTAAAATCCCTAGTGAATATTCTACTCTGTTAGAAATCCGTTTTTGTCAATATGCCATTTATAGGAACATACCACATAAAGCACATATATGGCATCACCATTTTGAGAAAAGAAATGTAAAGTTCAAACTAATAAAACACCCAGAAAATTCAGAGAAGTCTTGAAATGAAATCCCAAACGTCCATGCGATGCATAGTAGTATGGTTTTCTGTTAGCACACATGATTTGTTTCTGATGGACCATGGTGAATGAAAACAACTAGCTCGAATACAAATGAAGAGCTAACATATTCGAAGTTAATAGCAATTTACAATCAAGCAAGAAGACAATAATAAGTTCAATAAAATATGCATGACAAGAACTGTCGCATAGCCCAATACAGCCATACACCAAATAAGTATCTCCAAATTTCTCTTGGCGCATATGGAATCATGCTGAGCTGCATATGCAGTTCTGTTACTTAAAAAAGAGGTGTAGTTCTACAAGGACTAGTTTTTTATAGTCTCCCAAAGCTTTTTGCAAGTTATCTGTTATCATCTATGTCAGGACTTGGGATTGACACTTAAAGAGCAGGTCTGTGAGCATGTCATTTTTGGTGTTAACAAAAAAGCAAAGTGCTGCTGCTGCAGTGATGCAAAGAAGTTAACCCATTACTCAATCACTTCCATAAAGCTTCCTCAAGACAGCCCAAGTGTAATCCTTTCTCATCTATGGATTTGAAGGAAGACGACAACATTAGGCTTGGAGCCTGATACATTGCAAAAGAGATCTTTTCAGTGAGTTTAGTAATTGCAATTTCTAGTCTCAGACATGAATCAGAGGGTCATCAGAAGATATCTATCACTGATACAGATAGAGTATGAAATGGGAACTTACAAGATCTTTTGTCATTCTCTTATTTTGAAGCCATATAATACTTTAAGATACTCAAATCTTATCTGTGAATGCTTCGAATGGGGTATTAGTTGTTCTTAGCATTTCTTTTTAGACAAACTTTTTTTTTTTTTTGGTAAACCTAGTAATATCTGCCCTTATATTGTGTTTCCTCTTCTTAACCAGAATGTGGAGGGCTCTGATGCCAGGAGATGAAGAAACTAGTATGACTGATGAAGCTATATGGGAGGCACTTCCTGTAAGTTTGTTGTACCGATATTTAAATGAGATTTTGGGACATGTCTATAACTATTTGTGTGGATATAGGGGATACTCCTTTTTTTCAATTAATAGGTTCTATAAGATTGAGAAGAATTCCACCTTAACAACCACCCAACCAACGAACGTGTGGTTTTTCTTATTTATTTAAGCCATTCAATTTCCTTGTCAGTCAAGCAAGGTGCATATGCTGTAGCAAACTGTTGATCTGGAGTGTTTTTTGTTGGTTCCTTATTTTCCTTTCATATTATAGCCTTCTAGCTTCCTATATTACAGTAGTTAATTTATCTAGCATACTCTCTTTTTATTATTGTGATTTGTGGCAAAAGTTTAAGGATTATATTCTTATCATGAAAAATATTAAGCATTTAAATCCTGCACATAAACATTAAGCTACATTTGAAAGGAAGACCTACCTAGTCCTGAGAAACAATTATATTTTGACGCAGGATCTATAATAGTTTACTATTTCTGAAGTTTATGTTGTTGTAAACTCGTGTACATCTGTTCAATTTACTACTTTTTTGTGGATATGATGTTCATACTTCAAGTCTGTTATTCACTTCATGTAAAACTTTATACAAAAACACTCCAACTAACACGTA